TCGTTGTTACTGCTTTCTTTTTCTTTCCTTGAGCCAAGGGTCTATCGGAAACAGCGTCTCTACCCTCAAGGTAAGAATAAGGTCTGCGTACACACTACCCTCCCCAGAAGTGAGATTATACTGGGTTTGTTGATGTTGCTGTAATTATGTTCGCAACGCGCCCACACACAAATTGGCCTGATTGAATGGTGGTGAGACTCGAATCTAGGACCTTTGTATGCTCTGATATCATGCTAAAGTGTGTGATCATTTCATCTAAAAACTTAAGTTGTTAGAAAAAATGCACTTTTTATTTACTAGTTATATTCTTAATTTGTAATTTCTTCTACTCTGCTTACTCCTTTGTCTTCTAACTTAGATTTTTAGTTGTGGCTATTAATTTGGAGGTTCTTCAATTGGGTTCATTGTTTTTTTTTTTTTTGTTAGTTTCACCATTTGATTTCTTATTTGACTCAGAAGTTCCAGAGAGGTGCTTCCCCCTGCCCTTGATTCCTCTTCAGAGCCACCGGTCATCTTTGATGGAACTCCCAAGTTAGTTGCCTTTACTTTACTGATGTTTTTTCTTTTGGATCAGATGCGATTTTTGCCTTTTAATGTAGGATAAAATATGGTTAATTTCACGAATTGCCACCGAACTTTATCCACTATAACACCACCACCGAACTTTAACCACAATGACAGTTCAATGAACTTTATCCACTGTAACGATAAAACTTGTGCATCAAGGCAACTTTACTGTTATATAAGTATACAATTTGGTGGATTTATTATTATAGTGTGTAAAGTTGTGACAAAAAGAAGCTTTGTGACTTTGGTGTTATAATCGGTAAAATTTGGTGACCATATGTGAAATTAACCCGATATATTATTGATCTCTTCTGTGATAGTCAATTTGATCTATTCTGCTTCATTTTCTTGGTTGAAGGCTTTATATCTCTTACTCATGCCCATATGCCCAACGTACGTGGATTGCTAGAAATTATAAGGTCTGTAACCAATCGTTGATCTAGGATTTGCTTACACATTATATTTAGTGTGTACTTGAATTCCTTCCATTTACCTATGAACTTAGTGATGTACATTCTTGTATGTGAATCAGGGGTTGCAGGAAAAGATAAAGTTGGTTCCTATTGATCTAAAGAACAGGCCAGATTGGTACAAAGAGAAGGTTTATCCAGCAAATAAGGTGAAAGTGACATTTCCTTTCAAATAAATGGTGACAATTATTCAAATGGTGTATAGTCTCTCCTTTGTTTGAACTTTCCCCTGTCCATAATAACCATAGTAGAATTAAGCTGGTCAGCTTGTTGTTTTAGCACAGTAAATCTACAATCAACCTAATTTATCGACTCCTAAATGATAAGTTGAAACCAAATTATGTCTCTCTCTGTGTGTGTATATTTGTATTTGAAATTTTGCTCTGTGGTCTAAGTGCCTGTCAATCAATCTGTTTACATATCGTGAACTCCGAAATTTTGCAAAAAAGAAAGAAAATTTTATCTCTGAATAGCTGATAGATCAAAGGTAGAAAGGTGGCAAAATGTTCACACCCTTTTCATTGCATTACACTTCACTGTCACTTTGTTGTGCTGATCCATGTGACCACCTTTTCATCCCAAGGCAGCGCCAAGAACTTAACTATTTTCTGTCACAGGTTCCATCACTGGAGCACAACAATGAAGTTAAGGGAGAGAGTATGGATCTAATTAGATATATTGACAGTAACTTTGAAGGGCCTTCGCTTTTCCCAGATGTAAGTTCTTTGGATAGGATTTTCTTTGAGATTTTCCTACTTTCGCCGCCTCACAACTTGTGTGCTAACTTCTGTAGGATCCTTCTAAGAGAGAATTCGCGGAAGAAATGTTCTCCCACTTTGACTCCTTTTACAAAGCTGTAATTTCATCTTTCAAGGAAGACACAGTAAATGATGGCAGTAAGTTTCAACTCCTTTAGAATTACATACTTGCTTTGACATAGAATCTTTAAGTCTGAGATGTGCTGTTGGTGTAGTTACAGCATTTGATTCCATTGAGACTGCTCTTTCCAAGTTTGTTGATGGACCTTTCTTCCTTGGTACGTTCAGTCTGGTGAGTATCCATCCCTTATTTTTGGTTGTTCTAAATTCAACTGCAGGAAAACTATTCGTAGATGGATTAGTAGGTGAAATTGGTAGTTACAATTTGTTTGGATGGTTGTTACCTATTGTATTGTATTGTGTTATTACTTTAAATACAATGCTTATCTTGATTGTTACTCAAATTTTATTGTATCGTATCGTTAAATCCGTCGTTACATAACGACGAAAGGTGCCACTTTATGCAACGACCGATTTGGTGTGGTCGTATTGTTACCTTGTGTTTTTCTTTTATTTTGTCCTTCCTTATTACTATATAATCCTATTTTTTCCTTTATCCTATTTTTTTATATAATAATTCTATCATGTACCCTACTTTTTATTCTAGTTTATTCTTCATATTGATGGTGTGCGACATCATGAAATAATGAAAAATGATACAATCTATCCAAACATTGTATTCATCAAACAATACAATATAATACAATACAATGCATTATGAAATGATATGTAACAACCATCCAAAATAGCTGTTAGTGTTCACCATGGGATTATTTTCTGTAAGTGCATGAATATTTACTACCTTATATGTGTGACGGACAGGTGGATATAGCTTATGCTCCATTCATTGAAAGATTCCAGCCCTTCTTGCTCGATGTAAAGAACTTTGATATTACAACAGGCAGGACAAAACTTGCAGCATGGATCGAGGTATTATGGGGATTAACGTTACTTGGATGCTTTTTCCAATTGCATGGTTTAACTGCCAGAATATAATTTTATCTATAGCTATAAACCAAAATATAAGAATTTTGAGTAATAGAACATGGTGTTTCTCTAAGCTTTTACTGGAGTTTGCTTCTTTCAAGTTTATATTGACATTCTGCCCCCCAAAGCTTTGGTCTAGTGGTAAGAGGGCAGCTTTTAATGTGTGGGTTAAGCGCACATTAAGGTTTGAAACCTGCTGCATACAAAAGCCTGGTTCTGGAGAATGGTAGAGGGGCGGGCCTATTATCCACCAAGTTTCGAACCGTACGCCACTGTCCCTCGGGGATTTCTCAATTTTCTTTGAAAAAAAGGTTTATACTGATGTTCTACCTGAGTTCTATAGTGCTATCGTTATGCTTAGTGTCCATTCTATAATAGAAGTATATAAGAAGTTCCATAATCCAATCAGTGGTGTATCGTTTGTTTGAAGTTAATTTACTCCGGAAACCGTTGTAACCGTTATGCTAAACACCCAACAATCCATGTTATACCTTTTTGCTCATTCATTTCCAAGCCACATTATGTGGAGTTATTCTAATGCTATCTTTCTTCATTATGTGGACTTTATGTGCAGATAACATCTATTACTGCCCTAATATCTAAGTTTTCTGCATGTCTGTATAAACATATAGACATTATGACCCAATGCAACATTACTTGATGAAGTGTGGTGCATTTATTGCAGGAGATGAACCAAATTGAGGCTTATACAGTAACTAAACGCGACCCAAAGGAGCTTCTGGAAAGCTATAAAAAACGTTTCTTGGTAAATCGATTGTCTACTGCCTTTGTTTCGATATTTCTTTATCCAAAAGTTGTTTTATACCCATATTCACCACCACTTTTTTCTTTTTGCAGTCTCAGGTTTGAGCTCTGCCAGTACACAGCATCCACAATGATGCAAAGCTTACTGCTAAACAGTTTGTATGTGAAGTAAATTGACGTATCACTGAAAAAATCACTTTAACCAAAATTTCATAGCCTTCCTTCTACTTTGGCAGTCTAAGGAGAATGTCAAAAGATTTTTGAAATGCAAGAACTTTCTTTTGGCATTCATCAGGCACATGAAGTTTGATTTTGCCCCCAAAACCTAATGCCCCTTGACTCAGAGCAAGCAAGCATGCTTAACAAAAAAATGAACTAAGCATGCTTTAAAAGAACGAAAAGGGTCATATTTACCTCTCTACTTTCAAATATTGTTCATATTTATCCTCCATTTTACTACTCGGTTGTATATACTGTCACCGTTATACATTGGCCCAAATATGCCCTCCATCCGTTAAGAGATCGGGGTCTACTAATTAATTGGACCCAGGCGAGTTGGCTACCAAAACTTCAACCTTGTTGGCGAGGGTTTGATTCCCCCCTTGTAATCCCCCTCCCCCTTTATGTAGTAATTTTTTTTATTTTTGAAAACGATGATATATATATATATTACATTGAAGGGGAACCTTGCCGCAACTAGTAAAGTTGCTACCATGTGATCAGGAGGTCACAGATTCGAGTTGTGGAAGACTGGAAGCAGCCTCTTGCAGAAATGCAGGGTAAGGTTGGGTACAATAGACCCTTGTGGTTCGACCCTTCCCCTACTCCGCGCATAGCGAGAGCTTAGTGCACTGGGCTGCCCTCTACTTTGAAAAGGATGATATTCAAATTAGGGGTCTGACCTCAAATTGATGGATGACTTGATTTAGCTACATCTTGAGTTCCTCTGGTCAATGGTTTGTGTTCTTGCATGACAATAGGTGAAGATGAGCTATGTTGTAGCCTGGTTCGTATTGAGGCAATAAGCAACTAGGTCAATCAAGTCTAGCAGCTGCTACGGAGTGGTATAGTCGTGCAATTGGTCAAATGGCTAGTGAGTCGGGGGAAAAATTGAATCAATATGATTTTAGTCAAGAACTTTTTGTTTTGACCAAAAAAAAACAAGATTTTAATCATGAGAAGTGACAGTCAACATTGTCAAAAAACCGTTCTATTCTTGCAGCATTTAAGAAACTAATTACCATAATAATAATTGAGAAAAGTTATTTCTTAAAATCCTGATAATAACGGATGATAGGAAAATGAAAAATAAAAATTGATTGGCTCAATTTCAACANATTTAAACCCCCCCCCCCCCAAATCCAAACGATAATTTGAAACAACATATACCATGTAAGTAGAAATTAGTAACATATTTATAATTTCCGCAGACAACATAGCAAAATAGTAATTGGGGACAATTTCATTCTTTTTTCAAAGAGTCACAGGTTACATTCCAAAAACTCTGGTGTATACATCGCCAGACCTGGGCGCCTGGAACATCATATCTCCATATCCAGCATAGAAATTTTTGAAACCTAATCTCTCATTTTTCTGGAGTTCTGTCAAGCAGTCTACTTCATTACTATGATGGATATCGCGGAAACTATTGTGCTGGAAGCCATTAAAGATGTTACCATTGGCAAGCTTTTGTTGTGGAAATTGTGAATAGGAAGATGGATCAAAACTTTGGTGTCGGTTCACCATCGATGAGAAGCCATATATATCATCTAGACCAAAATATTCATCCCCGCCATGACCAGGAAATCTTTGTAATTGATGAACAGACGGTGTTTGTGAAACAAAAACTTGAGAGAATTTCCCTTCTTGATCTACAGATTTTTGTTGCATCAAATGCCAGATTCTTGCCTCGTCTTCAAAGGCTCTAAACTGTGGTACACAAGCTGACCCGATTTCCAGGGCAGAGATATCAAAACCATTTGTTGGCTTGCCGCTTCCACAGCTTGATATGGCAGGTTCAACAAAATCAATATCACCTGCACTGCTAATACTTCCAGTTGATGGTGTGTGAAGCAAACTTGATGAAGAACTATTTACTGAATGACTTCCTGTAAATAACAGCAAAAGAAACTATATATTAACTTCATTCACAACGGAAAATTTTATTTTGTGTCTCATACAATTGACACTAGTTGTATGAGGCAACTTTTTTGTCTCACAGTTTTGTGGACCCAGATTTCTGTGGACCCAGAAGTGTAAGATTGGGGTCCACAAATTTGTGAGACAAAAAGGAGCCTCATACAACTAGTGTAAGTTGTATGAGACACAAAATAAAACTTCTCATTCACAACAAACCACAGCTTATCATGCAATGAAAAATTGAAATGTAGTTGTTACCGGAGAGAGCACGAGGGATTCGTCCTATTTCATCAGATGAGGCAAAACCGCGAAGCAGGTCCCCAGAGGGCATTGAAAATCCAGGTGGAGCCAAAACTTTTGGTCTAGTGACTGTTAGGCAGCTCAGAAGTTTCAGTATACGGAAACCAATAAACTGCAGCATTTTTCAATAATGTACCGCTCTACTACAGTGTAAAGATGCTCAAAAGTATGAAATAGAACACTATATAATGTACCACTCTACTACAGTATAAAGATGCTCAAAAGTATGAAATAGAGCACTACAGTGCAGCAACTGGTTAAATTAAAGAACAGAGGTCAGCAGAAATGCACATGTATATATAAACCCCTTTCATTAAATCCCTTCATATTTCCTCATTGGTATACATACACCTTGAAGCCTGGCAAACTCAACTGCTCTTGAGAGCAAAACCAAACAAAGCAAAGATAATAATTCCATTTCTCCAGCTACGTGTGCTAATGGTGTATTTATCTATTTAAATGATAATAGCAATCAACTATAAGCCAGAAAGCTTGTCAAACTGTGACAAAATGTCTTTATATATATTAACTGAAACCGGTACAGGTTTTAACGTACTGATGAATAATCATTATCAAAAACTATATTAACTGAAAGAAACTAACACATTAACACAAAGCAGAGTTGGGAAATCCAAGATTATGTCATGTTTTATTCTACTAGCAATTAAAGAATGAAAAGCCTATAGATAAGCAAGGATTTCACTAATTTCAACAGAAAATAGTTTAATGCAAGAAAGTAAGGTGCATGCAGCAGCAAACATCATAGAAGATCCCAATTTTATAACATTCTTTACTGATTTTACAGAATTTCTATCCAATAGGCACATTAGAATAAGTAATATAAAATTGGAAAGCCACTTGAAAGAAAGAAAAAAGAAGAAAATCAATTTAAGGATAAAAACATGTTGCAAAAATCTAACTGTTTTACTTGATAAAATAAGGAAAAGCTTTGCCAACACTTACTTTGATACGAAGCCTTCTGCACATACTGATCCTTGTTCTCTCTGAAATCTTGAGGGATGGATGAATTCTTTGATACCTGACCAATATTACTAAAAGGAGACTCTAAATCACATTCTTGCCTTGAAAAGTCATCTTGCTTCACGAAAGAGAACCCCGATTGATCATTATGCAAAGAGTTCCAGGTAGCACCAAGCTTCCCATCAGATTCATTATACGAGCCAGCAAAGCTACGACGTAAGGCCATTGAATCATCACATGAATCAAAGTCAATTGACATAATATTTGAAATAATACTGCTTTCTACAGCATTGAATGATGAATCCTCATAGTTAGTCGAGTTATCACTATCAATCCTCCGTAGGTGCTGCACTATTTCTTCATTGGAGAATGAGGTAGAACTTCTGTAAACCCTATCAGATTTGACAGAACTTTGGAATTTCATATCATGTATTCCTTCATTTAATATTGCATTTACACATGAAAGTGGCAGAGAAGCTTCATCCACTTGATTATGTAAAGCTCCAAAATCCCTTCCATTGCTACACGGACTATATGACTTATGTACTAATGAATGATCACCGGAGTCCTCTGTGGATTGAGCAGAACAAGATGACATAAGAAAAGCCCTTAGAGCCACGCTACTTGAATCCTTCAGTCCTTGATCATCAGAAGATATATAATGTTCCCCGAATGGTTCATCAGAAAATTCAACAGAATTTTGGTTCCCCCACAGATTATTGACAAGGTGACTTGAAGATGAAACTTTGAACAGAGTTGTGTTCGGATATGTTTCATGACCATGATTACCATTAGTAATGGTTACTGAAGATAGGTCAGAAGATAAATCCAAAATCCTACAATCTTCATTGCTATTTCCATCTCTCTCTGTACCTGAAGTGTTGGACCGTCCAACAATATCTACAAAAGTTGTCATTCGGTTCGGCACACCAGAATCTATATCCTTAACATAAGGAATTCCATGAGCCGTGTAGCTACTGTAATTAATTGCATCATTTGCTGCATCCTAAATCACATAAAAGCTTTTGATGAACATGTTTGCAGTTAAAACCAAAGAATCCATAAACACTATATAAGAAAAATACAGAAACTTTTGTGCTGAAAAATGAGAACTAATGTTCAGATACTTTGCTAAAAAAAACAACTCCACAAGCAGAACTAAACACCAAGGTTTCTTACACTTGTTGCATTTCTAATGCTAGATTTCTCAGTCGATGTATTCGATAATTCATCAATCGGAGGTGGCAAGACATTTCCTGAGCGATTCGTCATATTACTGATGTCGCCAACAATTTGTTGAACTCTATTCCTGAATAACCAACAAAATTAAACCAATGCTTAGATATACCCAAGAAAAATGTACCATTATGCAACAACAACAATTACAGAAGACCCTTTAGCTAAGACCATCACAGATATATCAACTTCAGGAACCTCTGAGGTCCGCTAGAAAAAATCCACAGGGCATTCCTTCAAAAAAATCATTGAAGATTTCAAGTCCCAACATACGCTTACGCAAGAAAAAGAGCTTGTCAATTCCCATATATTCTGATAAATGAGAAACGAGGACAACACAAACTGCCTCCTCATATTTATCCACAATGAATAATCCTCTTACTAGAACACTCTTAGTATATTAGAGATATAACTACTAAAGTACATTAGAGAGCCCCTAGTGTGAAATATCCTCAAGTACCGAGTATTGAAATATTATGGACCCAAATAGAGCATTCATGATATTGAGTATTTCATAAAGTAAATTCCAACTAGCTTGGGGTTGAGATGTAGCTGTTGTTGTTGTTGAATAACAAATCCTTTATGATCTCACCCAGAAAATAAACAGGTAGGTGTTCATCAATTCTCAGAAGATTATAAATTCACGTAACAGTATAAGGCAAGAGTTTGCATGTTTCATCGGATATTATCATGCAACTTCAATGTCAATCACCACAAGTTTGAGATATTATAAGGAAACTAGTGAAGGCACATTGAGAAATAGAACGTAAACTCTTTCAATATGGGTAACTACAATTTGACTTCCCTCATTTGTCGATCATTACTACATGAGAACATTCAAGAGACCTTCAGCACCTTTAGGCAGCCTACAACACATAGTTGACCAAAACGATATCTCTATTTAGGTACAACAGGACTATCATTCTTGTCAACCAAATATCAAAATCAGATACTTGGAATACCAGTTTCTGCATGTAAAGCTTGCGGACCACATGTTGGATTGCAACGATTTCGCTAATATTGCTAAACTGAGAAACTGAATGTTTCTTTTAGGCACTATGTTTCATCCCACCCATAAGAGGGCACTGGAAATAAGACAACTACAGTTTATTATTGGCGATGCAGTCATATACTGCCCTCTCAATATTAACCTCAAATCACATACGCACATCGAAGGGAGACAACACATTTATATTGGAGGCTAAGAGGATTTTTTGTGTACTTAATACCTTGTATGAATTGCAGCTGCATCATCTTTACCAAAACTATCTTCATCAGCACCAATGCTATGCAAATATAGACAAGAAGGATTACCGCAAGGCTGGACAAACGAATAAAGCATGTCAACACTGGTTATTCATTTGTTCGGTAAATTATAACATGCGCTCATAAAGGAAGTGACAGGAAAAATGGTGATCACAAAAGCATCACCCTCCATACCAAGTTTCTCAACCACGCATGGCAGTACTTTGCAGTCCCAAAGGATGCTCTGCATAGGCCATTTTCACATTGTCAGAAAAAATGACATTATGCCTGCATGACCAATAACGGAAAGGAAAGGTGTAGCTGCTTACCTCAAATACCTATCTTCCAAGACAAAACCATGCACAGATTGAATACATCGTACGGCCTCCTCTTCTTTTGAATACGTAATATATCTGCAAGAAACAAGATGCAGAAAGAGATCAAATATAAGAACAACAATCTTGCGGGGCAACAAATACAATCAAATCAAAATTGAACAGTAAATTATGCACACTTTAGAAATGCACAAGTTTATGACACTGTTATGATTATCTTAATACACCAAGAGTCCAACAGTTCCAACTTCCATAGCATTGAAACAAAATCCAAACAAAGACATTCAATTAAACCTTCTATCCTCCCCCTAAGTTTCGGCAACTAGGTAATTTTAACAGCTTCTACAATTCCAGCCTCTTAAAAATCATGGCTATGGCCACCTTTCAATTAAGCACTGCCAACTTCGCCTCTTTCAAGTTTCAACTAGTGATACAACCAATAGTTATTATCATGCAACATCCTGATTGAAAGCTTTTTTTAATAATTGAAAAAGGAACAATAAGTTAACCATTATAAGCTTCAGTAATATTCAACAACCCAAACACCGCTGTCAAAATTGTGAAAACTGGCTCACTTTTTAACCTCAAATTTAAAAATTTCCTCAGAAAGAGTTCAGAGATTTGAGTTTTTCTACAACAGGACTTAGAAATATATATCCCAAGCTAAAACCAATTCAAAAAGAAAAAGCAAAACAAAAGAACATACATATCCAAGGTATAATTTTTTGAGATGGACATATCCAAAGTATAATTGTTAACAAAAGACTAACTAGGCAAAAAGATAGCTGAGGGTACAAGAACCTACAATTGAAAGGATCATAAAATCTAGAACATTATATTTGTATTAATACAACAGTGGAAATTTCAGGAAATGAATGATTGTCAGCAAGACCAATAGGAAGAAACCCAAGACATTAGACCTTAGCAACATAAGATAATAATATTGCCCTTGAAGAAAAACAATAATATTTCCCTTGAAACAGAAATAAGATGTAAACAAGGGACCAATCAGAATGAAGTACTGGGAACATATTGAAGGTACTGGGTACATAATATCAGAGAAAAATAAAAATTAACTCCCACTTTTTGAGACAATACTTGGACTAATTGAATCTAAGGAAACAAATAGCCAGAATCTAGGGAAACAAATAGCCAATAACAGCAAATCCCTCAGTAATAAACACCTACAAACCAAGATAACCAAGATATGAATCATTTACTCACACACTACAGGAATCATTAACAAATTGCTGAATTGCACCACCAGTCGTCCGAGAAAGAGAAATTTTAGTAACTTTTCCATACTGCCCAAAATATTCTTTCCGCTGTAAAAGCTGGTCAGAAGTAAGAATCATCAGTAGAGAAATGGAGAAAAGGAATTTTTACTATAATGACAAGGTTAAGAAAAAATTAGAATAAACAAAACCAATTGCTTCACTAAAAGATATAAAAAGGAAACAGAAAAAAGAAAGATACAGAAGAAATTAGCAAGGCGTAAAAAAACATACATCTTCATCTGCAAGACTAAGAGGCAGCCCAATCACATATGCCATTTTACGTTGAATGACCCGAACATTTGTGAGATCTTTCTTGACTTCATTAGTTTTTGGCTTTGCTTTTGGTTGTTTGCTTTTCCGGTGGACGTTGTTGTTCCCTGCTCTGTTTGAAACTAAATGTGTGTTACATTCCGTCTCCAAACACCTTCAAAAGTAAATTAGTCACGAGGGAAAAAACCTCTCAATATTTGCTTGCATTTTAACAACTTTCTCCTTTTCATATGTTGTTCGACATGCAGGACATCGACCCTCTGACTCGTCTTTTTCTGCCATGTCCATTATGTGATGCCAACACCAAAGACACACCTGCAGTAATAAAAGTAATAAAGAAGCCACACAAAAAAAAACTGTTTACATATTTGAAAGTCTACATCTTAGAATTCCTTCCTTAAATATTATATTATCAAGCGAGCAGTCTTATCGAGATTTCAACAATACCTAATAGTGGGGACAACATCAACTACTTGAAAGTGTGATAGCTAAGATATATCTTATTTATTCCTTTCAATTTTGGCTTTAGATAGCTGAAAATTCTGAACTGGATCAAAATTCAAATATGAAATAATCATTTAGCATTGCTTTCTCCAGCTGAGGGAAGGCAATTCTGATATGCAAATAGATTAACAACTGCTCACAATCCTCTCCTATTGTGTAAATATTAAAAGATGGCATTCCGAGTATAACCAAAGTCACATACATCAAGGAAAGAATCTTTTATCATGTTTTATTATTAACTTGAAAAATGCGTGTTACAATGGGAAGAGCCTAAGAGAGCAATAGTTGCATCCTTTTTATACATAGAAGAGCATGAGGTCATATGATGGTGCCAAATCCCGCAAACCTACTACCCAAACACAATTACTATTCCAAAGGGTCACAAACGCCACAGTAAAATATGGACTCCAGAATGCGTTGTTGCCTTTTGATGAGCAGTTAAGCAGCTGGGTCACAATTTTTTTTATGAAGTAATGACTAGCAGCTTAGTTCACACGTATGGTTCATAAATTAGCACTAAAATGTTTCTTCTACAATTATCAGATAATTGCAAATCACAACAATTGAAATTATAATGAAAATAAGCTCAAGAATTGAGACCTGATAACCACATTTACAAGGCTTAAACTGCTGATCTGTCCAGTCCATCTCTTCGGCACAAAGAGGACACCTTTTCTCTCCTTCATTGCTCATGATTGCCCTGTAATTCCAATAAAAACATATTTACATTTTACTTAAACCATAAATTCAATTAATTTCTACTACACATTAACAGTAACATTCACCTACATTTCCTCCAAATCTAGTACATTTATTTTAAAAGGAAAGCAATTACTTCAAAACCCTAATTTAAAGGTAAAAACGCCACAATTTCCATTACAGATCAGAAATTTTGAAAATACATAGCCAGATTCAACTGCATTCAATTGCCACATCGCATGATGCGATTGACACATACAACATATATATGCACATTCATTAAAAAATGTACATGCATATAATTTTACTCATATCGAAATTTAAAAAAAAAACGAATTTACATACATTTCAGCATCAACTGCAAATGTGGAATTCAAAGTTAGGGTTTTGAAAGTTTTCAGATTTGCAAAAAGAGAGCGTGAAAATGGAGAAAAGAGAAACAAACTTACAGTGACTTTTTGATGATAGAGAGAGAAAGGCAGAAAGAGAGAGAGAAAGAGAGGCGAAAAAACAACTGGGGAAAAATACGGCACTCAAAGGATTGAATTGAAAGGCACAAGATTACAGATAGAGACCGCTTTTAATGGTTGGCTTTTGTTTAAATTGATGAAATCTGACTTTTGTATTATTATTATTATTATTATTTGGTTTTTATTATAGTCGGTAGCGGGAAAAGAAAAAAAAATGAAAAATAAGAGTCCCGCTTTGAGGAGGGAAAAGGAAAATAGATAGGGAAAAGGGACCACCACGCTTTTCGATTATCTGAGTTAGGAGTTAGGAGTAGTTAATTGAGTCGTTAGCTAATTTATTGGAGGAGAATATAAATTGTCAAGATCTATTTTTGTACTTTTGTATTGTTTGTACTAAAATGTGTTTTGGTAAGTTGCTAGGTTAAGAAAGAATACTTGTACTAGTTCTATTAAGATAGACTACAACAACAACAAACTGTGGATTATCACGAGTGAGATCTGGGTAGGATTTGGGGAGGGTAAGATGTACGCAGCCTGGAAGGCCAGAGAGCCTATTTCCGATAGACCATAAAGAAGTAACAGTAATAAGTAGTGACAACAACAAGATAAAACAAGAAGACCGAAGCCAGAAAAGCAAAAAATTACTAAGTAATAATAACAATCTAAGAATAAAGAGAAATCATACTAATGATGACGCACTGAGAAGACATAGGGAGAAGCCTCAACTACCTACTAATTGACTACCATAATCTTCGACCGTCACACCTTCCTATCAAGGGTCATGTCCTTATTAAACTCCAGTTGAAGATAGAAGATTAATATTTAAGTGGATAAAGGTAGAGGGACGAGTTTATTATTCATCGAATAAAGTATTGATATAAATGGATAAGGATATAGAAGTAGACCAATTATTTATTAATAAAAATTCAATATTTAAATATATAAATATTAAAGGGGTGAACCTATTGTTTGACCCAAAATTTAGATTTAGGTTTAAATAATTATATTTTCTTAATAAAATAGGGTATTAGCCAATAATAATATATACTAGATTATTCAACTAGTGACGTAGCAAAATGTCCCAAGGTCTGTGGTGATAGTGATGGACATATTATAATAAAAAACACTTAATGGCACAATTACGAAGTAAATGGCATTAAATAGCAATAACTAGTGTGTAATGGTATTTATGTAAATAAATGTAACGTAGATGACCGAAAAGGGGGATAAAGTCGTGTAATATTCCTTTTAACAATGATAAATGATTGATGAGTCTTTGAATGTTCGGGTTCTCCCTGGATCATGGGAGAAAAGCTAGACATGGATCTCAAGAAAAATGTCATTTTTGTATGTATGTAATAAAGCACGAATCTCTAGAGAATGTCAAAGTATTATTTTACAAATGAGTGTTCAATCACCTACTATAACTGTGTCTCTTTCTATTTATAAGCGGATACGTGCCACAAAAGCCTAATAGTACAGATTTCGAGAATATTTCACTTGAATATTCTCTTTAAAGTCTTATCCCTAAAACTAGCTGTTATTGCTCCGTTAAATGAGAGTGTCCATCCTCAACCTCAGTCTCTGTTAACTCCTCGACCTTGCCTTCGTTATTTGTCGAACTCATTCTGATGACGTGTGGCAACCTTTGAAGGTTATCCTAATGTTGATTTGGCCTTAACGTAACTACAATAAATTTGACCCATACAGTTAGTCACTCCGCTTGTTGAGGTCGTCTTCGTGGGTGAGTTCAATGAGCGAATTATGTCGTTCATGGTCGTCTTTATAGTCGAGCTCGCTTAACAAATAACATTGGTCATCTTTGTTGTGGCGAGAGGCAACGTGGCTCTCTATGGGCCGCACGTTTTAAACCCTTAGATTTCCCGAATTGCCCGGATTGCTTGCTGGAACCATTTGATCCAAGAGAAGAAGTGACGTCAAGACGTCATGCGTCATGATGACGCTGATTCCCGATGCGTCGCGTCGATTCTCGCGTGGCTTTTGATTGGCTCTGTCGTTTCGATCTTTATGCCAATTATGGCAAACCGTTTCGATTTTGGTGCCTCAAACTCTATAAGGCGGATGGATTTGTTGAGATTTAAATTTTTTACATTATTTTCGCTTCTCCTTTGGAATTCTCTCACTTTCTTAATAAGATTTCATCGCACTTCGACTTCCTCTTCTATCTTCTTAAAATTTCATCACACTTATGGTTTCTTCTTCTATTTTCTTACAAACCTCCACAACAATGTCAAACCTTTCATCCGATGCCATTGGGGAAGATCATTATGTTCCTATGACCGTCGTGTTTCTCGCTCAGGAGGAAGACATCGTTGTCATTGTTGAGGAAAAAACTCTCCCCTCGGTGGAAGAGATTGTATCTCGATACCCTGATGCTAAGCCCGATTTTCACAAGCCATCAGAAATGGTGACCGAGAGGTTTCAATCCACGATGATGGTTGAGCGTTTAGCCGAGTTTAAGGCTGAGTTCAACCTTCCCGATCATGTGGAGTTAGTTCATACGAGAGACGATAAAGTACAAGTCCATAGTCCCGGATATTGTGCTCTCTATGCCTATCCGTTCACTATCAGCTATTCGTTCCCCTTCCCTCCGCTGATAGAAGAGTTTTGTAGCCATTATAATGTGTGTCATGCGCAACTCGCCCCCTATGTCTTCAAGGTGGTCAATATATTGGCGAAGTTTCCTGAATTGGCCGAAGTTGAGGTCACGGTACGCCATTTGGTGCACCTTTTGGCCCCCTATTTCTCCGAGGAACGTTACTGAACCTTCCCCACCGATTGTACTTGGTAGTGAGGATGGATGACAAGGGTAGTTGGCATTTCTGGCTCGACTATTTATTCATCAAGAATGAGGACGTAATGTCTGATGTCGTCGGCTTCCCTGAGGCCTGGAACCCCCATCCGTAAGTATTCATGCTATTTGTGTTTCTTCTTTTCTCAAAATATTTTTTGTTGTGGACAGACCAAATAACTCTTCTCTTTCTGCAGCTACTAATCGACCTCTCTAGTTGGTGACATATCTCGTTGATTAGGTCAGGCGGATCCTCCCCTATACGGTGGGGATCCATGACCAGCCGAGCTTCTTCCAGAAGTTCAAACCAGCTTTCCCCTCGACAGGTAATCTCTTTCTTCCCATCGATGTTGGTTTTATGCAGTGTATATTCATTGTTTTTATTGTTATCTTTCTTTTTGTTTTTTCTTTAGATTTTGTTAGAGGGACCGTGATAAGGGCTAAGGCCCCTGTGCCCTCGTTACGGAGGAGAAGGGCCGGTACGCCTTCAATATCTACCTCTGATCCAACTGTTGCAACTTCTATCTCTGCCCCAATTCCAAATGTTGCAACCTCTACCTTCGCCCCTATTCTGGCTGTTGTAACCTCTGCTCATCCCTTATTTTCACTAGTTGACGAGGACGACAAACTCTCGCCCCATTAAGGAGACCTTCGACCTCGCAACAGAAGATCTGTGGATGTGCGTGGCCTAATTCTTTTGGCCGTCGACGCGGTGGAAGGATTCACATTGCATGGGACGCTGACAATATATGTTGGTGATGATATTAGGTTGAGCCTTTAGGACCCATAACTGGTAGAAGTCAATGAGGGCATGCCCTTGCATTCCAAGGGGGAGATGGTAGCATTCGGCGACGGCTCCGTGCCCGCGAGACGGGAAGAGGCTTTATCCTCCAGGCGCCAGCAATAGATGTCTCATCGGCCGGCGGAGAAAAAGGAAAAGATGTTGTCGATAAGGGCGATGACTCAGGTTCCGACATGGACCTTGACGACCTCAGGATGATCGACGAGGGGCTCACCCAAATCAAGGTGAGGCTGGTGGTAGGCACGAGGACCATCATAATCCCAATAGACGGTGACTTGCTGAAAAACACCGAGGAGGTGGTCTCCTCTCCTGGTCCTCTCTGTTTCGACTCTGAGGGTGTGACCCTCAGGGAGATAAATGATAGTACTCTGACAAAGAATATTGCCAAACTTGCTCTTAGGGTAAGTATAATAGTTGTTCGTTCTTTCCTCTTTACCTTAACTCATTCCTGGGTTTTAACTCTTGTCTTTTCTTTGATATGCAGATATCCATTTTGGAGATTGAAAGCGCCCGAATGGAGAAGAGGCGAAAAGACATTTATGTAAAGTTTAAAGGCAAGTACCACGAGTACTGTGAAAATTATCGGGACTTTAGGAAGCAACTTTGTAAGGGGGGTGGAGACGAGTTGAAAAAGAAGGATGAGGAGTTAATGGCAACCGTGGGGAGATTCAGTGTCCTCGAGGAGGCGTTGAAAAGAACGGAGGAGGAGCTTGAGCTAAGCAAGGGTGTGGAGGCCCATTGTAGTGACCTTCGTGCTCAACATGTTGAACTACGCGAATAGTTGAATGGGTGTTAGCTCGAGATTAATACTCAAAGGGGAGAGATCGCTGAGAAACAGTAGGTACTTGAGCAGGCGGAGTCTTCCCAATTGGATGCTCGAAGAAAGATCGACATTCTTGAGTTGGTAAACAGGACTCTTTACTTTGAGCGGGAAAATGATCCATCAACAGTAAGGGCTAAGGATGATGGTCTTGAGGAGAGTATCAGGGAGCTGGACAAGGAGAACTCTGAGCTGCATGATCAAGTAGCTGATCTCGAGGCCCAGAAGGTTCAACTGCTTGCACGACCCACTTCGCCGAATGCTTCCAAGTATCATAACATTTCTCGGGAGCTGTACGAGAAGTGGATCCAAGCTAAAGTCCGACACGTTCTCCAAGACTTACATTCAGCGGGTGCTATTTCGAGAACAGCTCTTGAGGATGCTTGAGTCAAGGCTCATGAGGCTCGACTTGCTTTAGATTATGATCATGCTATGCCTCAGCCTGGTGAGGAGGATGAGGAGGTGGGCGTAGATCAGCTCGAGGATGATGTCTGGCATGATTCTTCTTACCCTCAAGGCGAGGATGGAGAGGATGTTGGGGGCCGAGATAGTGATGGTGTTGACGTTCGGGATGGTGACGTCGTTGAAGGCCGAGATGGCGAGGGTTTTGAAGGGCATCATGGCGATGGACAGTAGTTTTCTTTTAACTTTTTGTGTATTTTTTGTTGGTGTCTTCGATC